TGCCTCTCTCCAGCCCCAAGCCAGGAGGGCTCCACGGATGCCTGGGTCCTAGTGTGCTCCCGTGAGCATCCCACTCTCCAGGCATGGTGTCTCCCATAGCAACAGAGGTGACCTACAGCACCTGCACCAGTCTCTACGTGTGTCAAACACAGGGCATGGCACAGCCCTGCCCACTTTCCCACAGACAGCCCTGGGGGGCTGGCCTTGTCCTTCTCACCTGCGGAAGTAATGAGAGAAGGGGTAACAGCCTCCTAGTTTCACATTCAAGTCACTGTAGTCCCGCTCACTCCACACCTGAAGAAGAGTGGGATGGGCTGAGAACAGTCACACTCACTTCTCACCAGGAATGGACACTCGGCTCACAAACTGTCCTCACCTCCTGGAGAAGCACCAGATCAAAGTCCTCCTGGCGCAGCATGTCCCCAATGAGCTGGATGCGTTCCTGCCGCCGCTTGCTCAGGTAGCGAATGGCCCTGCCAGAGAGGGGTGACAGTCACAACCTGATGGGGACAGGGTGATGGGGGTTGTCAGGGCACACTGTGACCCCAAAGGGGGGAGAGAGGGCTCCAGTACCAGTGTAAGCAGGATGCAGATGGGAAAGGGCTATGAGAGGCCATTTGGACAAGAGAGATAATGCAGGGAGGCTGTTTGAGGCCAGCTTCTCCTATCTGCAGAACTGAGGCAGCTCATCCTTGCTTGGGGTGCAAATGGGGGGTTAATAGGCACAGAGGGGACTGGTGGCACTACCCAGCCGAGTACCTCATGACCCTCTGGGGCTAGGAGAGTGGTGTGACTCCAAAATGAAGGGGACACAAAGATAACCCCAAAGTGGGACCCCTCTCCCAGTGTGGTGTCTTCGTCCCCACCCACGCAGCCCGGCACAGCCCCGGTGAACACTGGACTCACCAGCAGTTGAGGTCAAAGATACGAAGGCGCAGGGCAGGATCACCCTCCATCACTTGCTGGATTTTGCAGGGGCCGGATGGCAACGCTGGGCAGGGGGAAATCCTGCAGGGTGCAGGTTGGGAGAACAGCCCCGGGGAGCCGGCGGAGGGTGCAGGACAGAGCCAGGGATCCGGGCTGGTGTGGCAAAAGGGCTGAGCCAAGGCAAAGGCCAGGAAGGAGGAGTGCTCAGGGTGCTCCAGCCAACCCTGGGCCTGTTCCCTCCCGTCCTGTGCACAAGGCCCATCCCGAACCCCAACTTGCCCCCAGAAAGGGATCCATGTACCCTGACCACCATGTGACCCTCCATCCAGTGAATTTGGACACTGGTGGGCCAGGGACAGGGTACAGGGCTCAACTCCTCTGTCTGTCGGTGAGTTGTGTTCCAGGATGGACTTTCACCCTGGTTTCAAAACGGAACTGCGAAGCACCAGCATGGGACAACCCCATACACCTCCCCACTCGGGAAACCCATGCATCCTTTTGGAGACTCCAAACCCCGGAGAAGCCAGCAGCTCCCTAAGCAGCTCCAGCGCTCCCCCAGCCCCCGCTTCTCTCACGCCTGACCCCGTGAGATTATCCAGTTTCCGGTTTAGAAGCGAAAAAGAGAAACCGTGGGGCTCCAGGATGCCGGGTGCAGGCGGCCGAGTGCGGGAGCCGAGCTCTGCATGCTCCGGCGGCATTACCGAGCTGCTCATCCCGTTTCTGCGCAGTGCTAATACCGGCGTCTCCTACCAAGGCTGAGCCCTCCGAGGCGCTCTCCGCTCCCAGCTTCCCGAGAGACGGGCGACAGCAGCGGGACGCGGAGCGGGACAGGGAAGCGGCAACAGGCGGAGCGGCGCAACAGGAGGAGCGGGACAACTGGAGGAGCGGAGCTACGGGAGGAGCGGGGCAACAGGCGGAGCGGAGCAACAAGCGGAACGCGGCAACCAACCTAGCGGGGACGGGAGCGGAATAACAGGAGGAACGGGGCGCGGAGCGACAGGCGGAGCCGAGAGCAGACCTGGAGCGGGCCGGCAGCGGCGCGGGACTGGAGGGACTACGCGTCCCGGCAGGCAACGGAGCGGAGCGGAAGGGGAAGGGCCGGGGGCCGGTGCGAGTGAATGGGACTGGGTCGGGGTCTGGTGCCGCGTCGGTCAATGGGCCGGGGCTGACGTGCGGTGGGTGTAACGGGGGGCGCTGGGGGATGCACGACGAGCACTGGGGTACGGGTGTCTCGCAGAACGGGGAAAAGCAGCTGGTGTTAAAATACTTCATCTCTGTCCCCTGTGTGTGGAACGGGGTGTGTGTACCGAACAGCCGAGGCACTACGAGCAGGGCTTCGAGGGGTGTTGCTGACTGGTGGGACAGACCAGCCTTCTGCCGCTGCCGTGGGCGAGAGTGCGACCTCTAAAACGTGTCGCTGAATCCAGCGATGCTGCCGGGAATTGCAGGGAAGCGCCTGCCGTGGGGTTGGCCGACCTTTTCCAAGCAAACACTGCACCAGTGATTCAAATCAGAGCAAAATACAGCTGCATGTGGTATCCTGGTGCCGAGAGAGGGGGTCCCGGGAGAAACGTTACCCAGCCATGGGGTTTCATGGGACATAGAAGCTTTCATAGTCCTGGTTGTTGAAGAAAACCCCAAGAAATAAAATACTAACTTCAGAAGCACTTGAGCCAACCCATGAACAAATAATTTTATTTTTTTTTTTTAGCAGACTGTAATTTTTTGGAGCTCCACAGTCTCCTCTCTTTGAAGTTGGACAGATACAGTAAACACAACAAATATATGATACAACCCATCACAGCTGGATTAAAAAAAAATACACAAAAAATATAATACATAAAAAATTGGATTTTTAACATTGTGGACTGACACAGCTCTAAAAATGGTGATTGTAACCCTGGTAAGCTTTACAAAGTCTTTAAAAAAATAAAACAGTACTTCATGTGAAATTCATAAATACACTGGAGGAGAACAGAGGGGCTGGGGAGTGGGGAAGTTGAGAAAGTGTCTCTGGGATCCTGGCTAAACCCCGGCCAGGGCTGCTGGGGGCACCAGTCAGCATGCGCCTGGGGTGTGGGTGCACGCCCTGGGGCTCAGTGCAGGTGGGATGGAGGGACACAGGGATAGAGGAAGGGGTGGAGGCACAAACCAGTCCAGTTAATGAAGAGCTTCGTCCCTGGTTGGGGCTGGGAGTGGGGCACACCTGTGTTTTATGGTGGGCGAGTTTTGCGTTTTCATTCCCAGAGTTTTAAATCAGTGAGTGAAAGGAGAGAAAAAAAAAAAAAAGAACAAAACAACAAACATGCTACATATGAGACCTCAGCCAGGCAGCCCTGGTACAGCACTGGGATAGGATGCCAGTGCCTTGCCTTGGATTTTTCCCTCTCTCTTTCCACCCTGCTTGATCTGCCCCATTCACTGCAGCTGCCTGTCTAGTCCCACCACTGAGCCCTCAGCTGGGCGTGGGGCCAGGATAGCTCTGCCCTGTCCCATAGGGATGGGTGTCTTCTCCCAGCAGCAAGAGGTCAAAGTCCCTATGCCTCACCAGACATGGCATCAGAGTGGCAGCCAAGGCACTTTCCTGGGCTCTGAGGCTGTTCCTGCTCCTTTGCACATGGCAGCATTGAGCCTAAACCTGCCCTGTCTTCCCATCCTGGGCTTCAGCCCCACTCAAACCACTCCCGCTCCCCTGCAGCACCGGTCTCTACATTTCCTGCCACCCTCCCTCCCTTGCCAACACGAAAAACCCATCCAGACCTGGCCACCTCGGGCTCCTGTCCCCCCGCCAACCTCCTGCCACCTTGCTCCATGCCACCTTGTCTGTCTGTGCCCCTTCTGCACCTCGGGGATGCTCTTCCCAGCCTCTGTTCTTGCAGTCGCAGCCTCAGGACTGGGCACGCTGCCTTGGCTTACTTTGGGCTGTAGCCACAAAAATACCTCCAAGCAGACCCAGTCCCTTATCCTGGCATCCCTCCTGTTCTCTGTCCCCCCTCTGTCCTAAACCCTGTCCACTGACAGCCCGGCTCTGCGTTACTCAATATGCTTTTCCTTGCACGAGCCACCTCTCTGGCCACTTCCCACAGGATGCAGGCAAGTGGACAGAGCAATCCACAACAGTCAACACAGAAAAAAGGCAAAAAAGCTGAAGAAAAAAGAACCGAAACAAGGAAAATGTATATATGTAAAGTAAATCAGGCAAATCTGCCCTCACTGCTCTCTACTCATGATTCCTCAGCAAGTGACCACAGCAGAGACATTAAGCCTGGGCCACCCCCAAGTGCTATCCTTGAAAGTGCACACAGAGCTCAGGGGATCCCACACAAAAACCAGCCAGAGATGAAAACATCCTGAGCCTTCCCTACACAAGCCACTCCCCGCGCCTGGAAGTTCCGCTGTTGCCTCCAACCCAGCAAACTCTGCTGTCACCTCTGCTGGTCACCAGCATGGCATGGGGCAGAGTCCCAGGCACTGCAGAGTTACATCATCATGATTACAAGCACGGTGTCTTTTTAAAAAGTATTAAAAGGCCCTTTAACTTAAAAAAAGGGGAAAAAAAAGAGCCATAAAAAAACATGGTTTGCATTGTCGATGCCCTCATGCCTTCACTGCCACGGGATGCCCATGCCCCAACTGCGCACAGAGAAGCCTCCTGGCTGCCAGTCTCACGGAGGCAGCAATGTCCCCCTCCTCCACTCTGCCCTGCCCTGCTCCTGCCTTGCACATCCATCCCCAGGTCCCCCCTGCCACCTTGGCTCTGCCAAGCCATGCCAATGACGCTGCTGCTGCCATGCCAATCAGTTTTGGACCAGACCTGGTGCAATGCCCCCTCCTCCAGCCCATCTGTGCTCACTTCCTCTCCACTTCTCCACCAGGACTTCTTCTGAGTGAGGGCAGAGGTTGAAAGGAAGGGTCGTTCTCTGCTCCGACATCCCGCTGGTGATGGCACGGTGGGATCCTGGCCTTTATCAGCAACACCAAGGACTGGTCTCTCCCCATCCAGCACCGGATGTAGGTTTTCTTTCTGCCTATGTTTTTTTTCCCATTCTTCATTTTTTTTGTTTTTGGTGGTTTTTTTTGGGTTTTTTTTTTCCATTTATTAAAAAAAAAAAAAGAAACTGTTCCTAAGTAGAAAACATCTGCAATCACAAGTCAGTCTTTTTTGGCTATTGTTGTTCTTCCTCCTTCTCTCTTCAAACGACTTCTCACAAGGCAACAGGCACAGGCGGCTACTCTGCATGGCCCCCTCCCTCCCCTGCATGCCCCTTGTGCCCCTGCCTGTCCCCGAGTGCCCCTAGTCCTTGACTAACTTGTACACATGGTGCTGGGCGCCGTGCTCGCTGGTGGAGACCTCGAAAACAAAGGCAATGCAGAGCAAGGTTTCCTGGGTATCCCTGTTCGTAACAACCTGTAGCAGAGCAGAGCATGTTAGGGGAGTGCTGTGGGCAGATGCAGTTATTCAGGGGGTTGCGTGGGCTCATGTGCATGGGCACAGCCACTTTGCACCATGAAAAATTTTGTTACTCCTTATTTGTCGGGTTGCGCGGGCACTGGCAAAGTCAATTTAATTGCACCGTCAATATTTACTGCACAATTTTGGGGACTGGGGAGGGCACAGGCTCAGAACAGCCTGAATTGCACCACCAAAAATTTGCTACCTGTTGTTTGGGGGAGGGTTGCATGGGCTCAGGCACAGCCACTGCATTTGCACCACCAAAAATTGCTACCCATTACTTGGGGAAGGCAAACTGGCTCAGGCACAGCCTATTTAGTTGCACCATGAAAAATTTGCTCCCCATTATCTGGGAGACTTGTCCAGGCTCAGGCATAGCCACTTCGTTTGCACCATCAAGATCTGCTCCCTGGAATTCAGGGGCTGTGTGAGCTAAGGCACAGCCAGGAGTATCTGAGCTGCGGGAGCACATGCCAGCAGGGTCGGCAGGGCCAATGTGAGTGCAGGCTCCACACTTGCTGTGGGAAACATTCCCTGGAAAAGGAGTGGAGGTACCTGCAGGATGGTGAAATTCTCCAGGACACTGTTCATCATGTACTTCTCTGGGAGGTGCTTGAGTTTGTGGATGAAGTTGATCATATATTCGCACATGGGAGACCGGTGGATGCGGTAGACGAACCGTCCGTTCTCCAGACGTGCATACTCCGTCTGTAGGAGACAGCCAGGGAGAGCAGCTGTCACGTGGGACGTAGGCACGAGCAGGTGGTGGCCAGATGGGACACTGTGATGTCCTCTCCGCTCCACCCATGGCCAGGTATGAAGCCACATGCCCTACACCAAGCTCTGGGGCTTTCTCCATCCCAGGACCCACTGTGGACCAATTCCTACCCCTTCCTGATGCAGCAGGGCATGGAACTCACCTCCACTTTCTCCACAACCTGCTTCCCAAAGGAGCACACCTTGGTGGATACTGTGATGGTCATGTTCTCTGCACTGCTGTATTGGCTGCTGACACCATAGAAGGTCCCCGGCCCATCCTGGATTGTGCTGTTCAGATCAGCCTGGAGAGATGAGGGGAGAGAGGGTCCCATTAGGCACCACCACACCCAGCTCTCGATGGGGACAGAAGACACCAGCTTTCATGCTGGCAGGGGGCCCAACCTGCAACAAGCCCGTGGCTCAAGAATGACCCTTCCCATCTTAATCCTCCCAGCATCATACCCAAAACTTGACGAGAAAGAAGGAGTTCTGGGGCCCACGCTCATAGAGTTCCTTAAGGCCACCTTTCTTCTCAGGGAACTTGTCATAGATCTGGCGGATGTCCACAGCCTCCAGCAGTGGGTCGCTGTATGAGGGGTTCGTCTGGCCAATGTGCACAAAGAGGTGTTTGCTGTACTGTAGGGACCGGGGACATTAGAACGAGAGATCAGGTGAAAGCGAGATGCCACCAAGCACAGGCGTATGTGCCATCCCCCACAGGTGGTGGGGATATGGAGGGGATATGTTACCGTTTCAGCATCCCGCGGCACCTCCATGAAGGCGGAGTACTCCAGGAGCCGGAGCTTGGTGGAGGCGATGGTGCGGTCCTGCCAGACAGGCACGGCCGAGGCAGCTGGTGGGAGTGGAGCCAAGGGCTCATAACCTGGGGCAGGGGGAATGACATGGGGATGGGGGACAGCTCTGAACTGGGGTGAGTGCCCCCTGAAATGCCATGGTGCTGCTGTCCTCACTGCATTCCCCACTCTCTCTTATCTCCCTGCATGAGGGTTTTCCCACAGGGTGGCTAAAACACAGGATGTGCCAGTCCTACTTCTGAGTGGAAAGGGACTGGAGGGCACCCGGCTGGGAGCAGCAGGATCCTGCTCACTGCAGGGCTTTTTGCCAGGTTTAAACTCGGGCTTTTCCCCCATCAGGCTGGGGAGGAGCATCAGATGGGTAGCACCATGGGTGGGTGGGGATGGGACAAATATGACCTGGCAGGGGCACAGGGTTCCCTGCAAGGGGGCAACGACATGACTTACTGGCTAGTGATGGAGGCATGGGTGGCTGGATGGGGTAAGCTGGTTGTGCAAACGGTTTAATGCTGGAAAGCAAAGAGCATCATCAGGTTATCAAGCCTGGGATGCCCCACTCCCTTGCCAAGGTGGGGCCCTGCCTGGCGCCAGGTAGTGGAGGGGTTTCATACTTACTCCTGAGAGGGTCCAGGCTGTCCTGGGATAGGCCCACTCCAAAACTGGGGAAGTAGCACAGGGAAAAGTCAGTGGCTTCTGACTTTCCGCCCCAGCCAAATTCCCTTCACCTCCTGCAAACAGCAGGGAGCCCCCATTTCCCCACCTGCACTGCCACCATGGCTGAGGATGGCTGTTGATCACCCCCCTGTCCTATGTGGCTCATGCACATGGATCCATGCCCCCCCTGCCCTGGGGTGTCCCTATATGGGGGAGCACGGGGTTGTGCTCACCCTGGGGGCAGCAGAGAAGACGGCCTGAGGAAGAGGAGGTGGGGGGCTGAGCTTGTTCTGCAGGACGCTGGCTGACACAATCTGCGCGGAGGACATGGAAGCCATGCTCTGCAGAGCTTTATCCTTTGAGACCTGGTCCTGGAGGCAAAAGGGAGGACAGGAGGGTAGTGGGGGTTACAGGGGCAGACTGAGCTCCCTCAATCCCATTGGGCCTGACAGGTTTAGCAAAGCTAGGAGCCAACCCTGCAGCCTGGCCAGGGGGTGAGGGCAGAGGGATCCCCCCCCCCTCTCTCAAATATACCCATCTTAATTAACATTTGAAACTTGAAAATGCTCCCTGGGCAAAAGCTAATGGGTCTGGAAGATGTGCATTCCCATCCCCCTCCCAACCCCTGTCACCCCCCTCCCTTGGGGTTGCCCCTCCATGAAAGAGGGCAAAAGGCAATGGGGAACAAAAGGCATTTCAGACTCAAGCTCAACTTACCAAATTCATGGCCTGTCCACAAAAGAAAGGAAAAAAAAGGTTAGAGCGTTGTGGGAGCCTATGGGTACTGTGTGCACCTCCCCATAAGTCAGGTATTCCCAACCCCAGCTCACCACAGCATCACACAGATCTGGGAAGTGAACCCCTCAACCTGGTTGGTCACCAGGGGATGCACACGGTGGCCATTTATGCCTGGGCTTAATCCCACCAGGAACAGGATGCCGAAGTCCCACACTATTTTATGGGGTCACTGAGGTGAGCCAGGCCTATGCCTTTCTTGGCTCTTTAATAACCTCTACCACCTCTTCAGGGGCCCTCAACGCTTGCCAGGGCACAGAGAAAAAGAGCTGCCAGCTCCTGCCCTGACTGGCAAAGGGCACCTGCACCTGCCGTGTGTGCATTTATATAGGAGACCAATTATTTTTCCTTTTCCCTTTTGCTCTCGAGGTCACAGCACTGCTGGGCAGGAACACAGGGTTCAAGGACTCCCAGGTATTGCCTTGGGCAAAGCTGCTCCTCCATTTGCATTGACAGGACATGTGCATGCTGGTCCCAGTGCACACCCTCTGTTTTTCTTCTGAACCTTCCTCAGGGATCAATGCTTCATTTATTTTCACCTGGGGTAGGGTGGGAGCACAGGCATGCAGCCACATGCCGGGAGTGTGAACACACACATGACTGCAGCTCAAAAATACAGACACTGCTCATGAAAGGGAGTTTCCACCCCACAGTGCTGGGTGAGGGCAGAGGGCTGCCTGCACTAATCTGGGAAAGGATGTTTTGTATCCCCAGAGTATCTCTGTCCCGGCTGTTCCCTGCCAGAATCCTGCAGGGAGCATGCCTGGGGACAGACAGCACAACCGTGGACATGGGTCTCCAACCCTGGACCCCAGAGGTCATTGCTGCCTCCAGCTCTCTCTTTGTCCTGCACTGTGCTGTGCAGCAAGGAAAGCTATTCATTCTGTTTTTTGGTTTTTTATGTTATTTTGTTGTGAAGGTTTCTACTGTTGCTGACCCTGCTGTCCCCCTCACCTCCCTGACTGCCCTTCTTGGGAGCTGGGTTTAAGACACAAGCGCAGAGCAGCCCCCCAGAATAGTTTCAGGTGCCATCTCCTGGCTTCTCCCAGAAGACCAAACCTTTCTGGGCTGTGGGAGCCCTCCTGCCACCTCAGTCATGGAGCACTGGGGTCCCTGCTGAAGGGCTTTGGAGGGCACAGCTTGGTAAGCTCCCAGGCAGCATGAGCTGGAGCTTGTTAAAGCTTTGAGGACAAAAATGCCAGCTCCAGCTCTGATGGTGGCCCTCGCTCTTAACTCTGTGGCCCCTGCTGCCAGCCTCAGTGCTGGAGATGGACACAGTACCCAGGGCAAGGCGGCAGATCACCCATGGAGATGCCCAAGGAGATGTTCCCTGGTTTGATGGTACAGGGATTAAGTCAGGCACATCCCAGGAGCCGGCTGTCCCCAGTGGGCAGTCATGCAGTGGGGACTGCTCTGCCCCCCACCTTGCACCATTTATGTGTCCAACCCGAACAGGGCGCGGTCCTTCGGTGATGCCCCCAGGCCTGTCTATGGCCCCCATCATCACCCTCCCCGCTGCCAGCACAAAGCTCGGAGGGAATGGTTATGGAAGGATTAGTTGGGCTCCAGTCAGGAGGAAAAAAGAAGGAAGGAAAGAAAAGCCAACCAGAGAAGAGAGAGAGGATGATCCAGTTTTTCCTCACTTGGCTCCCTTGGCTCCTAGAACCATGGACTGCCCTGACACCGCTGTGCCTCCCTTCCTGGCAGCATGGCCCCATCTGGACCTGCTGCCATGCACATCCCTGAGGTGCCCCTGGAATGTGCATCCCTGAGTACACCATACTCTCATCCTGGTGTCTCACAAGCCACTGGGTTGGAAGCCTGCAGGGAGCCCCATGACCCCCCTGCTTCTGCCCACATCCCACCGGCAGCTGTCCTGAGCAGGTTCAGGTCTCAGTTAGAGAGGGGTGTGGGCCTGTGCATACCTTGCTTAAACCTCACTTTGCTTCGTTGGCTGCTCTGGGGAGTCCTTCCCCTCCTGGGAGAACCCCTCATGGCCCAAAAGAGGAGGCAGCCCTCATACATCACTGGAGGAGGGTTTAAACCACGTTTCCTCATGGCAGAGTCCTTGCCTGGGTGAAAAGAGGGGATTTGGCACACAAATTCACCCTCCTGAAAGAAAGGGAAGGGCTTTTGTTGCCCCTCCTTGCACTTCTCTCTGGGCATCCCACAATGACACCTGTAAAGACCATCTGGTCCTAGAAGCCAAGTGAGCAGGAAGAAAAATAAAACATCAAAAAGGAAGGTAATACAGGGAAAGCAAGCAGCACACTGCAGAGCCGAGGGTGTTAGTCGTCAGCAGAGGGGGGCCAGCGAGGCGGGGGACGCGTACCTTCAGCTTGGACTGAATCTCACGAGATTTCCGTCGGGCAAGAACCTGCAAGTGGCTAGAGACCTGCAGAGAGAGAGCAGAAGGAGAGGGGGAACAGCAGAGCCGTCAACCAGAGGAAAGGAGGAGGAAGGAGAGGGGCTGCCCATGCTCACAGAGACACCGCTGCAGACACCTGGGCAAGGGCGTCAACGTACCTTGATGCCAACCTGGTACTCCCGCACCTTCTTCCGAGCTAGAACCTGTATGTGGCTGGACACCTAGTGCCCGCCATGCCATTCGGAAAGGAAAACACAGAGAATGTGAAGACGTGTTCCCCCTGCAGGGTGGGATGCTGTCCCCAGGGAAGGGAGTGTGGAGAAATGGGGGAGCACTTTTTGCTGCCAGGGTGATGCTTCTGGAGATGCTGAGGGTCCTGCATCTGCCACGAGCTGGAGGAAGGAAAATTGAGGGGGACACTGGTGCACTGGTTGATGCTTGTTTGTGCCCCCCTTGCTGGGGTGAAGCTCCTTGGAGTAAAGCTGCTGCAGTTGGCATCCGGCAACCCACCAGGCTTTGGGGCTGATTTTAGGAAGAACCTTCATGAACCTTCTCACACCAGTGCCAGTCTGTCCAAGAACAGACACAGGGCTGTCCAGGACACGAGCGCACAGAGGGATCAATGCCACGTCCACTCTCCCCTGTACTTTTCCTGAGTCTCTCCAGAGCATTGCACCTTTCCCCCATGGAGGGGGGGCTCAGTTATGTCTTTAAGCCAGAAATAAAGCGCTGCTTGGCACTGGTCTAAACACAGGGACAGTGGCCAGACTGTGGTCCCTCTCCCTCCAGCATAAGTCCTGGAGGAATGTCACCACCAGTGCCTTGGGACCAATGTTACTTTCTTGCTGGGACTCACGGCACAGGGCAGTCCCAGTCTAAGTGTCCCAAACCCATCCATCTCCCTATGGTGGGAGATGCTCCCCAGCATCCAAGGCCATTGGTTCTGCCAGTTCTGCCACAGGACAGGTGGCTTGGCTCCTGGCTAGGGAGGGGAGAGAAGAGCCACTGGACATGTGACAAACAGACATGTCCCACTGAGGGCTGCAGCAGCCTGGTCCTCAGACATGTTTGGTGAGGTGAGGGCTCCAGGGATGAGTGTGACCACTGTGTGCTCCCTGCCCTGTCAGCATCCCTGTTTGCCCCAGCATCCAAAAGTGCAGGGCAGCAATGTTGGGGAAAGGGTCCTGTGGTACCTCTGGCCCCACCAGGACCAGCACCACAGTCCTGCACAGCCAGTCTCCGGATCCCTGGCTGAGTTGGGGATGCCTTGGTCTCAGCCCGGGGGTGCCTTCGCTGTGGTGTTTGGCAGAAGTGGCAAAAAGCCTGGCAAGGGGTAGAGCTAGGAACAGTCTCCGTATCCAGGAGGAGCAGGAAAGACCCATGCCGACACACACAGACACACACACTACCTGGATAGAGATTATGACAGCTCCTGCCACCCATGGGGTGACCCCAGCCAGGCAGGGGACTGGGTGCTGCCTGCTCCTACAAGACCAATTTCAGGGCATGCTGGGAGAGAGCAAACCCGAGGGGGTTTGCGCTCACAGGCAAAGCTCCTCAGAGACGATGGGGGGCCTGCTGGCAGTAACGGTGGCTCCAGGAGGGGACACGGAGGATGCAGGAGGAAAACCTGCTCCCCCTCGGGCTTACCTGGCACCCCTCCTGTCCCACCCTGAGCCCACCCCAGAGAAACAGCAGAGCAACACCTCACCTGCTTCCTCGTCCGTGTCTTTCCCGTTCGCAGCTTGATGTACCGGGCGATCAGCTCGTTACGACCTGCCGGCACAGCCACGAGTCAGCCCCGGGAATCGAGGGCCGGGGGCATCAGCCCACCCGGCCAGGCGAGGGAGGCGCTTGCCAGGAGGTGGCGCTGCCGTGACAATGTCGGGGCTCGGGGCGGCCTCGGGGACACGGGGGCGGCCAGGACAGCGCTCCCACCGTGTGCCCCCCACCCCATCGGCTTTGCCAGCCCCACACACTGGGGCTTAGAGGGAGGTGACAGTCACCAGGGACTACAGCGGTGTCCCAACCACAGACCCCCCAAAAACCCATCCCAGCTGGAGCCCCCTCGGAGCCGATGAACCCACTCCCCGCAGCCCCGCCCGCAGGGGTCGCGAGCTGCTCCCCCAACACCCCGCTTCCCGTTTGCAAGCCGTGCTGGCCTTTCCACCAGTATTTCCTAACGTCCTGGTCTAATTCGAAGCAGAAGTTGCTTTTGTGCCACATTTCAGGGGCCAGCTGTGGCCAATCTACGTTCAAACGTCAGAGCAGCTGGGAGCTTTCTTCTCCCGGTCCCGGCCCCCCCGGCCCCCCCCCCCCCCCCCCCCCCCCCCCCCCCCCCCCCCCCCCCCCCCCCCCCCCCCCCCCCCCCCCCCCCCCCCCCGGCGCCCCCGCGCACGGGGGCGGCTAGGCACGCCAGATTTATTTTAATGGACCAGATGGTCGCGGTTGGAACTTGTCGAAATGCCCTTGGAGCGCGTTTCAGCTTTAAAAGAATAAAAAAATCCCTTAAAAAAAAAATACACTCCCCTCTCCTCTTCCACTCCAACTGGCCCCCTCCCAGCCCCACAGCAACTGGGCCCTCCTGGGAGGATGCACACATGACGACAGGCAGGGCCAGGTGCCACGCAGGGATGGCTGCACCCTGGGGTGCCCACACCAGGCAGGAGCTAGTGGGTGGACGGCAATGGGGGTACCCCTTGCACAGCCAGGGTGGCACCCTAGCACTGAGCACAGCTCCCATCCTTCCAGCATCCAGCCTGAGTCGGTGCTTGGCCTCATTAGCACCTAACAAGGGCCAGGTCCTCAAGGGTGCCCAGGTGAGGCGATGCCCACAGCAAGGTGCTGACAAGGCACTCTGGTGCTGAGCTCCAGCTTGGGGGTACACTTTCACTGAGCACCACAGCATCTCCCTTTGCATGCCTTGTTCCTGAGTCCCACCCTGTCCCTCCCATACCCTGCCTGTGGGAAAGAAATATGGGGAAAAATATGGGAAAGAAATGTAGGTGCCTTCAAGGACCCAGTGGGGCAGTGCCAGCCCAGCACCTAGTGCCCAGCAGCCAGGGCCAGCATCTCCTGCACCCATCCTGCCTCACAACATGCCCAGGCCACCCTAGGCTACACCCTTGCAGCCATCCCTGTATCCACGTGCCCTGTCCTCTTTCCTTGTGATTCATCCGGACCGTGCCATTCCCCCTGAGAGGGCATGTCCTCCTCCAAATTACCACATTCCCCAAATTCCTCTCCCCTGACACCACCACATGAACCAGTTGGACAGGCTGGGTTAAAAATAACCCATCAGGCAGCAGAGTGTAGCAAGGCCCAGTGTGCCCTGGGTCCTGGTCCCCTAGCTCCTTCCCACCTGCTTTGCCAATCCCGCATCAGTGGGGCAGGGGCTGGCATGGCCGTGGACCCCCAAAAAGAGGGGTGGTGGTAGAGAGCAGTGGCACTGGCACACCGTTATGTCGCACGCTGGCATCGCTTGTGCCTCCAGTGACCCTAAGGGTCCTGGTAAACTTGGTACGACCAGCCAGGGGTACTGTGAATCCCAGCGGGGTGGTGCTGGAGAAGGTGGGGAGAGATGAAAGGCGGCCAGAGGGGGCTGCTGCCTCTTTAAGCAGCTGCCAGATGTCTCCAAAAGGCTGGAAAAACCGGTTGGGGTGTGCTGTGCGGGGCCAGGCTCCCGGCGGCACTTCAGCTATTCCTGGAGAAATCCAAAAAATGCACCCGCTTGGGAAGCCCTGTGCTCCCACCCACCCCCCACCTGCCAGCCCTGGTGCTGAGTTGGGGGCCCTGGTAAGCAGGGTAGCACAGGGAGCTGGCATGGGGACAGAGACAATGGCACAGTGCTCTCCACAAAGCTGCGTCCCCTTTGCTCGTCTCCACTGGCAGTGGGTGAGCCATTGCCCTGACAGCAGCATCCTGATGTATTTGGAGGCTGGGGATAGAGATGCTGGCCCCAGTCCTGGGGTCACCACGGGGTGGTAATATCTCAGCCTACTGCTGACTTTGAGGTCACCAGCCCTGGGGGTGACAGCCTGGAAGGCAGAGGGGAAGAGGGACCAGCCCCTACCATGGAAGGGATAGAGACACCATTGCACCTTCCACTGCTCTTTGATGGCACCATGCACCCCCATGCCAGTGTTACCTCGTGCCTACATCATCCATCCTTATCCTGTGTTTTGGGAGACATTGGAAACTAGGCTGAGACACCCTCAAAATCATTGCCCCAGTGGGGCTGACTAACCCTGCTGCTGCCAACAGCGTCACCAAAAACTGAGCGGGGTGCATATGGCTGAGGGTGGGTGAGTGATCCTTGCCACAGGGTGCTCACCACCGGGTCCAGCTGGGGAAGGTTTGGGGAGTGATGCGGAGACACACAGGAGCAGGAGGGTTAGGGCTGCCTCTGCCCCTGCAGTCCTGCACCAGCTCCCTGTCCTCACCCCCTCCCTGCCTGATGGCTTCACCAAACCAGTCAGTCCGGCAGGGCCGAGAGAAGGAGGGAGCGGGAGGGAGAGCCAGTGCAGAGGGAGGGGACGCAGGTCACTGCCACCTCCCCAGTCCAGCTCTGAGGTGAACCCAGAGAAGCTGCTTTCGGGGCTGGGGCGTGCTGCTCAAGGGCAGTGACCCATTGTGGGTTTGGGGCAAAAGGTTTTACTTCAGCCCCAGCCACCCCATTCTGGAGAGAAGTTCAGTGCCCTGCCTGCTGCCTCCATCCTGCCCCTGTCACTCACCGTACATCTTGCCCTCATCTGAGAGGATGATTTTCCGCCGGCCACAGGGTGGGTAGATCGCCAGCGCCTCCTGGAAGCTCTGCTCAATGTCCGGACTCCACACACCCTCGGCATCATTGTCCAGACTCTTGTCCATGCCATCCTGGCCATCTTCCCGCCCCTCCCCGGGGCTGCCGCTGGCGTTCCAGCTGTTGGACGCTATGGTGCTGGCTGCTCTGGGCTCCGACCCTGAGCCCCCAGGGACACACGACAACCTGCTGGAACACAGGGGACACCTGTTAGACCCAGAGACCCTAGCTGGGGGCATGGGGCTGCAGTGACAGTGTGGTTCCAGGTCTGTTCCTGTCCCCACTCACACCCGGAGCAGCATCTAGATGTTGGCATCAGAGACAAACAGGTTTTCTTTGGGGGCAGAGCCATGCTTTCCCCCAAATCCGAGCCACAGGTGACCAGCCAGGATCCACACAAATAAAGTTTGGGAAGAAAACTGCCTGGTTACTGCATTATCCATACAAGGAACTTGGGCATAGGGTGCTCATGGGCAACACCTTGGGACAGGGCGGCAACAGCCCTCCAGCTTGTGAACCCTGACCCCACACCAATACCAACTGCCACACAGCAGCCTCCTTGAACAAAACTGGCCCCAAAAACAACTCCAACCCCCAAAATTCCCATTCCACCATGCCTGGCAAAGGCAGCGTTGGGATTTGAAGGGAGATGCTGGGTGGCTCCAAGCCAGACCCCACTAATAGGAACCAGGTGGCTAGAGCCGTCCGGCAGCCCTACCCCTGGCACTGGGAGAGGCCCCCCACTCTGAGGATGCTCTGCTGGGGCCCCAGCCCTCCCCAGCTGGTGGGTGATGCTGGAGAGCCTTCAACCCTCCTCCTCCTTCTCCTCTTCTCCGTTTGCCTGGCTCCCAGTGCAGTGTTTCAGTGTTTTGCAATAACATGTTTGGCGGCAGCTGGCGGCGGTGGGAGCAGAGTGGAGAGGTGTCTCCTGCGCCGCCGTGCTTCCCGGACGGGCTGGGAGTGTACAAAGGTCTCCGACACAGACATCTCCTTTTAAAGGAACTGCCGAGCCTGCTGGCTCAAGTACACTCTGAGGCCTTGCTTTTTTTTTTTTCCTTTTATAAAAAAAGAAACTAACCCCCCCCCCACCTCTCTCTCCCTCGTCGTGATGTGATGTCAGCTCCTCCGGTCCCGCTGCCCGTCCCTGCCCGCGTCCCCCCCGCTGCCGCTCCCCCTCTTGCCGAGCACTGTGGCCAAATAAGGAGAACTGGATTGTATGATCGAGCCAGCCAGCCAAGGGAGGGATGGCGGCAGCAGTGCCGGACGGGCCTGCGGCACCATGAAGCCTGCGCTGTGCTTGCTGCTGGGGCGCTCTGTGGGGCAGCCTCTGGGAGGGATGCATTGTCCAAACTTAGCAGGGCGTTGGGGATGGGAGGGTGGGGGGACACCAGGACCAGGCACTGGGCAGGGACGGCATGGGTGGCACGTGGGGACAGCCCCAGCAGGACCCTCACTCCCCCCGCCCCTCTGCAGCCCAGCAAATACATCAGGGCTCCATCCCAGTGGGGCACCTACACTGAGGTGCAGCTGCTTTGGATGGGTGCTGAGCCCTGGCTGCTCCACAGCAGCCCAAGGTCCCCCAGCAGCCCAGGAACCCTCAGACATATGGAAACCAGAGATGACTCAGCTGCACACAGCAGCCCAAGACCCTGTTGCCCCCAAAGCCCACAATGGCCTCTGACCCCACAGCAGCACCATAGCAGCCCCAGACCTCCCAGCACCATGGCAACTCAGGAGCACCCAGCCTCAAGATACCTCAGTGGTCAGGGACCCCACAGTCCAGTGCCAGCCCAGGACCCAGCAGCACCCCGGGACGCCAGAGCACCACAGGGCTGCCATCAGCTCACCCTAAGAGGGGTAAGCCCCAAGAGCTGGTGCTGGGGGCTGACTTTGCAGGGACCCACCAGACTCCCAGCCCTCCCTAACTGATGAGTGCAATTAGGGCCAAGAGTGAAGCTATAGGCCTGAGAGCAAAACCATGGGGCTGGCTCCACCACTGCAGGCAACGCGCCCAGTGCCCTGGGTCATCGTCCCTGTGCCAGGAACTGCATGCACAGGCAGGGTGACGGCTGTCCCCACACCCTGTCTGCAGCACACGTGCTCCCCTCTCTAGGAGGTCCTCAGACCTCTCCCACCCCACTGCCCCCTCCCAGCAGGGAAATCCCAGCCTTTTCAGGGAAGCTGGGAGAGGAGGGAGGGTGGTGCTGGGGCCCCAGCCAAGGTGCGAGGAAGCGGCTCCTCCTCCTTCTCCTCCTCCTCCTCCACCCAACCTGCTCTTGGGCAGGCCAAGACACTGGATTTCCTGGAGGGAGGGTGCATGCACCGCGCTGACGCAAGGCACGGCCGAGTGCCGCTCCACCCTGCCCCTTACAAAACACAAACAGCAGCAATTAGGGAACCGGCAGGGCTGGACGGCCGGTGGAGAGACCGCGGCCAGACCTGCTCCGGGCAGGGAGGGGACCGGACCTGCCGGAAAACACGTCACCTGCCCCTGCCTCCCGGCTGCTCCCCAGGGACAAGGGCGGGAAGACCCCTCCCACAGCACAGGCATCTCTGCAGGCTTTGGATCGGATCCCAGGACCACTGATCCTGGGAGCAGAGCGGTGCTTCCCCCCGCGGGGATGCTCACGCACCCATGCCAGGAGGGCGTCCCCATATCCAGCTCCCTTGTCCCTCTGTATCCTGCTTGTGTTGAGGGGGACACTCTAGCCCACGGCTTTAGAGGGTGATGGAGGGAGCTGCACCCTTGTGAGGTCCCCCAGCGGATGCAGGACGAGTGCCCGCAGCAGGCAGGGGAGGATGCCTCCAGGGCAGCCCTTATCTCCCTGCGAGGACAGAGCTGCGCCAGGAGATGGGATGGTGTTCCCACGAGCTCACAGAGCTCGGCCCCAGCACCACTGCAGGGGATGCGTGGGAGACCTGGGGCCTGAGCAGGCAGCAGGGCTGCAGGCAGCTGCCCTGATGGGAGAGCTGCTTGGGTGGGAGATCCTGTTAAAGCAACAAGAAGCTTCTTTAAGCAAAGGCAAAGGGACTTCCAGAGAGAGAGGGGTGCTAGGGAGATGAGTGTTATCTGGTGGGTGGGGGGGAAGGAAATACTTCGGAGGCGACGGCTGTGGTCAGAGACGCGTGGTGGGTGCCCCGCAGGGGCCTGGCACAGGTGTCAAGGCCAGGAGCAAGGTGCTGCTGGGATCAGCAGAACCAGCTGTGATAGAGATCAGGTCAGTGGTGTGTGGGGTGGCATGGGGGAGAGCACTTGGGGCTGGGGGCACAGTGGACATTATGACAAAGGTGTCTATCACCCCCGCAAAGCCTTTGTGCACCGTCTCCATTCCTGTCCCATGCTGCCAAGCTGGTGGGACAGCATGTTCCTCTAACCCAGAGTGGTCAGCCCCAAAAGCACTGTCCCATCTGGTGTAGCCACGAGGCACAGCCCCAGCAGCCCTAACACTGCCCCAAACCCTTCTGTCCTGTTTAAACTGGGACGGGGGGTGGCTATTGTCACAGCATCCCCTCAAACTGCCTGGGGTGCAAGACATAATAGCATCTGCTGCAAAAGAGGGGGACTGCTGGCACTATGTGGAGGGACAACATATGGGGCACAGCAGCCCCAGCGTCCCCTTCTTATCTGGGGCTCCCCCAGCCCGCAGAGGAGGACATTGGGAGATAAAGGTGCTAGGGACACTGCAGAAGCAAAGAACCCTGCAAAGGCAGGGTGGGGGTCCAGCAGCACCCCAATTCCATCCTGCCTCCCCATGCAGGGTGCCCAGGGTGATCCAGTCTTTTTCCCTCTCCCCTGTACCCAGACCCCATGGCAAAAGGATAAAAGCTCATAACAAGCCCAGGCAGGAGTGGCACAGCGCAGTGCTCAGCCTCACACTAGCACAGTGCCACCAGTGCCACCCATGCAAGAGGAACGAGTGAGGCCACTATCACCCCTGCACTGTCACCATGACCAGTGGCACACCCGCCCCAGGGGTGAGTGGGACAGAAACCCCATCTTCCCTGGTCTTGCGGGTGCAGCCCCTCACCAGGGATGGCTTTGCAAGAACCCAGTTGAGCAAACTCCAAAGCCAAGACTCTCAGGCACCTCAGCTCCTGCCCGCATGCCCTGGCATACTGGGGCTCAGTGAGAGCACGGCTGGGGCCCTGACTCCAGGCACTGATTTGTAGGCAGGCAGAGCCCTTCATTACTGTGCCTCTCATTTCAGGCAGGGGAGTGCTGGCTGGAGGCAATGTCCATGATATACTGCCTCTGCTCACCTGGTGACACGACCGGAGGAAATGCTGCCCACACCATCGCACAGCCACCAGCTCTGCAGAGCCCCTTGAAAGAAACCCAAAAGCTGTGGATCTCCTGGGGGACACCAGCAAGACCACAACACACCAGGGAAGATGTTGCTCTGTCTTGCTGACAACCCCAGTGCAGTGCACAGAGCCAGATGCTCTTGGCTCTGCTGAGGATGACCCTACATCCCTTCTCTTGCTCTTTGCAGGAGTCCTGTATCCCTAGCACCTTGCCCAGAGACCCTTTGGGAACACCCTGCCCCAACGTCCTGCCCCAGACCCTACCCCATTCCCACTGGGCCACCATCCTGGTTGGCATGAGGCTGTCCCAGGGACAATTAGAACTCATCAAGGCGGGTGGCAGCAGCCAAGCAAGATGCGGCACGGCAGGGAGGGTAGTGGAACGAGGCTTATTTATATCACGCTCCTCTTCCAAACAGCTCTCGCTGTGCTGAGGGATTCTCTGGAACTGGGAGAGAAGGGTGGCCACTCAGGCTTTCTCCCACTCAGGTTTGCACCTCTCTGCCAGGGAGGGAGGACCAGCCATGTTTTCCCAAAAGGGTCCCCTAGCACAGTCTGGGGACCCAGGCAGTGACAAAGCTCCCCATGCACTAGGCTGGCTCCCCGTGAGACAGTCCAACTAATTTCCTCCTCTCTATTGCTTCCTGTCCCTTCCGGCTTGGCGGGCAGCTCAGGAAGCAATCGGAGCGAGAAAACCACAGGAGGCCATGTGGCAGCATCCCACCAGGGTCTGAAGAACTGCCAGGGCTGCCTGGGCACATGG